GAGAGAGAGAGAGAGAGAGAGAGAGAGAGAGAGAGAGAGAGAGAGAGAGAGAGAGAGAGAGAGAGAGAGAGATTCCGGAGAGAGGGAGTTGCATGGATTCTTCAGTTCTTTCAAAAGATCGGAAATCCAAAAGGAATGAGGCCTTCGCCCCTGCCATTCCTGGCTGGGGGTTAGTTTCTAAGTCTGGTAGATTTTGGTTGACCCTTCTTCCGGTGCTTAGGGACTACTCACACTAGCACTTTTCAAAATGCATCTGACTCCAATTACGGCCAGATCTGGATGCATCTGACCGCAATCACGTCCATAAATAAGGAAAAAAGTCCTAGTGTGAGTACGCCCTTAGACATTGACTCCTCTTCTTAGACATGTCGGTAGGTAGAAAGGTAGCATGAGGTATAATTGAGAGAAGAATATAGCTTAGTTTTTTTTCTTTTAAATAAGGAAAACCAAAAGGAAGAAACAGGAAAGAAGGGACGAGGAGGAGGGCGAGGCAAGGTGGGGCAAAGCCGAGAGGGAAAACACTGATGCTGACCCTGACCCTGGTAGGGGACGAGGGAACCTGACGCACCTCCCCATCCCTTGCAGGAATTGCTGCACCCCATTGCAATAGGTTGTCTTGCCGGACCCGGGTGGCCCAATCACGACCTGGCCAAATGGCATGTCGAGTCTTCTGAGGTTTAAAAAAAATCAATGGCCCCTCACGTTGCGAAACCAAAGGGGGGAAGGGTGACCGAAATTCAATTGCCCCTCACGTTGCAAAGCCAAAGGGGGGGGAAGCACAAGGTCACCCCAACAGCACAGACATGCCCTCGGTGACGCAGTGACACCCTTGTTGAGAAGGAGAAAGCCAACACACTCGTGATCCTGATCCTGATCCTGCTCACAAAATCTACACATGTACCAACAAGATCATGTACGTCAGTCTCTCACCAAACCCGTTTGACTGCCACACACATCAGCTAAACGATAAAGCCGCAGCTCACTAAGATTTTTTTTCAACAAGATCACATGAGATTGCAATTTGACAGACAGAAAGCGAGAGCGAGAGGGAAGGAGAAAAAAAAAAAGAGGAACCAACAAAAAAAAAAGGCACAGAGCGAGGGTCGAAAACCAAAAAGAGACAAACGAAAAAGAAAAAGAGCACATGCTTAAAGCACCACTACCACCGCTTCCGCCTCTCAATACCGAAGGAACCAATCTATGCTTACACAAAAAACACCCTTCTTCGTAACTCCAGGCCCCTTTTCTCCCCGTTTTCTGCACCTCCCACGCATCATGCTTCTTATCCTGTGCATGCAGCATGTGCACGTCGGTATCCTTCTCCTGCCTGCTCCTCGTATCGGCAAACGTTCTTTTTTTATTCCCTAAAAGAGAGAAGACATCCCTCCTCATTCTATGCCCCACCACCTCAATACAACGGGAAAAGGCATAACAACGTTCAATAACCAAAAAAACAGCAGTCTCGAGAGAAAAAAAAACAAAAAAAAACAGTCGTCAAGCTGTTCACTGCCTCCTCCTCCTCCGCTTCTCCTTCCATCGCTCGTCTTCCTCCTCCCAACCGCCCATCCTCCTGCTATTCCTCCACCCTTGTACCACCTCCCACATACCCTTCTCGATTGCACCCCTCCTCCAAAACCTCACTATTCTCCTGACACTCCCTTACCCCCTCTCTGCTTCTCCTTCTCCTCCCCTCTTCTCTCTCCTATTCCCATCCTCATTACCAGCATGCATAGTAATCATTCTTCCCCAGGACTTGTCATCTGCCATCCTCGTCGCTCCTTCTGTCTTCGTCTATCCTTTGAACGTATCTTAGGGCATACGCACACTTGGTAGGTAGAACTTTTTCCTCAACTCTGTGGACGTAATTCCGGTTAGGTTCGTGCAGGTCTGGCCGTAATTGCGGTCAGATGCATTTTGGACATCTGCCATCCTCGTCACTCCTTTTGTCTTCGTCTATCCTTTGAACGTATCCTAGGGCATACTCACACTTGGTAGGTAGGACTTTTTCCTCAACTCTGTGGACGTAATTTCGGTTAGGTTCGTGCAGGTCTGGCCGTAAATGCGATCAGATGCATTTTGGAAAGTGCTACAGGTAGTGTGAGTATGCCCTTAGAGTCTTTCTGGTGTGCTCTTTTGTTTCTCTCTCTCTCTCTTTTTTTTTTTTTTTTTTGTTCAAACCTTCTGCACATATTCACATGACTTTACCACATGGAGTAGTTTATATTTTGATAGGGGTGTTATCCTATCCAATACCAAAAAAAAAAAAGATACAAATTACTCGGTACTCGGATCATGCACATTGGCGTTGACGTGCGAAGAAAATAGAGCCAACGAAAGGTGCAGGAAAGAGAGGACGTATAATCATTCTCCTCTGTGGTCAGCCATCGGCCATTCTCCCTTTTCTCTTCCCTTCCGCTTTCATCCCTCTAAACCTCTCTGTCGTGGAAAAATGGATAGCCTCATGACGCTTCTTTTTTTTTTTCTTTTTTTTTTTTTCTGATGCTTCTTCTGCTCCTCATCCCCGGCATGCAAAGAATCAGAAACAATCTCTAGACTCCATAAACGGGGGAGAGGGCCCCGGGGGGGGGAGGGGGGGGGAGAGGGGGAGGGGGAGGAGGGAGAAGGGGGACGAATCCCACCTCTCTTCCTACAGAGTGCAAACAAGGCAAAGAACAATCAAAATACTTTAACTCCATCTCCGCTCTCCACAGCTCCTTAATCCACATTCTCCTCTCCTCCTTCCTTATCCGTACATGAAAAAAGCATGAACGGCGAAAAAAATAGAAATACCTGCCTCTGCTTGCCTCTCTGATCGCTCGCCCTCTCCTCTCTCCGCCCTATCTTTTCCACCTCCTCCGGGACATTAAACACATCAGCATCCTGACGCTTCTGCTCCTCTGCAGACCTCCCCCTCTTACAAGTGTTCGTCCGCCCATCTGTGTTCTGCATCATATTTTCCTCCCTCCCCCCATCTTGCGTGCCCGTGACCAGAGAGCAAAAGATCTCTCTCTCTCTCTCTCTCTCTCTCTCTCTCTCTCTCTCTCTCTCTCTCTCTCTCTCTCTCTCTCC